GAATGTTGAAAGGATCAGTGGTTTTTTTAAATGTATCTGTTTCAAGTGGTTACAAAAATATAATTTATAATATACAGTTTTATATGGCTGTCATTTTTCACATTCAGGGAAACAGCTTGCTCAATGGACAAATATCAGGGATGGACTTGGCTGATTATCACTCTGATGGTCTACCTAACAGGTATTATCCTTTGTGTATTTATTCATTATTATAGACTCTGGACAGTTAACAATATTAAAAATGATAAACACATATACAAAAAGAAAAAAATATCTAAAAAACACATAGCAGCTTGGAAAAATTACAAAAATACTATTCAGCAACTCAACACAACCAAGAAATGGGCTCTCCTAGGTACTTGGCATCTCAAGCACAGAACCAAGTCTTCAAGTCTTTATAGAAAGCCAACAAAGAAGGGTCAATCCAAGACCCAGAGGGATGATATTCCAGAGAGGTATCACAGCAGAAAAGGCTCTCTTCCAGGAGCCCACCAGCTGATGGTCCTTAACATATATGATCCAGAGTATGCTTCCCCTGATTGAACAAAATAAGGCCTTTCACAATACCTGCCATAATACATGTTTGATTTGGGCCTGATTATCTGCTGTAATTCTACAGCCCATTGAAACACTAACATGACAGGTACTATGAGACACACTAAAGATATAATGTTATGTTGTGCCTTGAATTTCCTCCATGCTCTTCAAACTTTTAAAGTTGTGGATCCCGTCCCCTATGGAGGTACATCTGGCAGGATCCAGAAGAAGGAACTTCTCACTGGGGTCTGGGACGATTAGGCGCCGATACTTTCTGCACCTAATTCACTCCTGTCCACCTGCCGCAGCCAACCCACAGCAGTCTTTCCTCATCCAAAGGCCCTCTGCAGGCGATTCTCCACTGCCAATGGCCCCCTGGCCTCCATTACCAGCCCATCATCCCAGCCAATTCCCTGGAGCACGTTTGTACCCCAGTAATTCGATGCATGGGACAAATAGCTGCACCTCCTGGCAGCCAATTGGGGTGGTTGGCAGCAGGGATTGCAGGTGGACTGGGGCGAAAGGCGGCTGGCAGGCATCTTGTAGGTGTGGCGGAGGGCGGCGGAGGGATTGCATGCGTGTGGCTGGCAGGGATTGCAGGAACGTTGGAGGGGATGGTGTGCGGCTGGCAGGCATCTCAAAGGTGGTGGTGGCAGGGATTGCGTGCCTGTGGCTTATAGGGATTGCGAGGGTACTGGGGGCATGCAGCCAAAGGAGCTAATAGCAGATATTCAAGCCAGGGGTGAAATTACTTTCTCCACACAGAAAATGGCATATCTGTTGGGTTTTTTGTTACATGAATGAATGAAAAGTCTTTTTTATAGTTTTGTTTAATTGCATCATCTTTATATGTTGCTTGAATGAAGATAGATTATTGATATGTCTCCATATGTTAAAAAACTTTTACATGGGTGTACTTATTTTTTTCTCATGCTATACAGTGATAATGTATCTTAGTGTTTACTGGCTGTTTTACACTTACCTTCATTAGATTTAATATATACAATTTATGCTAATTGATTAAAAGTATTTATAGAACATTGGGAGAAAAACAAACAAACCAGAATTTAATGCTTCTGTGATAAAGAAAGCCCTTCTAGAATTCTCACTTTCCTGCAAAGGATGCTGTCCTGCATTGAAGTAGTATCAACCCAATTTTACAGATGGAAGACATCAAGATTGAGGCCCTGCCTGCTGTTGGGAAATATGCAATAGTGCTAGGAAAAAGCAAATCACAGATGTTGCCCTGCCAAGGCCTCAAGAAGACTTCCCTGTCAAGCCTACAATTCTGGGATCGCTTGGTGGTCTCCTATCCAAGTACTCTGGTGGTGCTTGTTAAGGCAATATGGTGGATTAAGACTGGGGGACACAGGCACTCTCACAGCTCTGCCTACTTCACAATGTTGTTGTAGGAAAGGGCAGAATAGAGCCTATCTTAATAAATAAATAAAATCCTGCCACCACCTAGCATCCACGAAAGAGGCCAGAGGTATGTGATTTTGCAGACCTTCAATTCTAAAGAACTACAGTTCCCAGCATCCCCTCCTATCTTGACGGGAAAGGAGGCTGGGATCAACAACCCTCCCACCCACTATCCCAGGCTTCTGGGCAGCATTGGCCAAACAAGCCCCCCCCCCCCAATTTTGCAGAAAAGACCTTGAGCTGCAGCTTTTCCTCAATGCTGCTAGACCTCACCATCAATAAAGTGCTTCTGAATGTGGAGGCTCCATTTAGCAATGGGGAATAGATGCTTCAAGGGGAAAAGCCACTTTGGGTGATACCGTCACATATTTTTCTGACTATACCTAGATTTGTGGTTATGGAGGCACCATCTTATAAAGATCTGCTATATTTCAGTGGTAGTGGTGAATAGTGCCTCAAATCAATAGATGTTTTGAGACGGAAGTATCCAGACTTTTCTTGGCTTGTGTATAGACAAATTCAAGAGAGATGGCGAATTGATAAAAAAACTGCTTCTTTTATGGAAAATGGGAATTTTTTGAAACAAGTAAGGGATGATGCTAAAGGACATATTAGAAGGATATATAATGTTTTATTAGAATTGGATTCA